GTGGCCATTCCTCCTCCATGGCTCCTCCCTCCGTCGGCTCCACCGTGGGTCGCTGTCATGACTCTGTCTGCCGGCCCCCTCCCGGGTGTCCGTCCTCCTCCTGAGCCGCCTCCCAAGTTCCCACCCGCCCCTCCCCATGTAGTTTCTACGGTGCAAGGACGCATCTTCCGGGAGGGGGAGTAATGTCAGGATTCTGGACTGTCTGTGTCATGTTTTGCCCCTGTTTCTGTTCCTGTTTGTCCTTATTTGGTCATGTTCCTGTCCTCGTTTAGTATGATTATTAGTTGATTTCCCGCACCTGTCTATCCCTCGTCAAGTCTAGTATATAATGTGTAGTCTGCCTCATGTTTCTTTGTCGGATCTACTAAGTTGTGTTTGTGTGTCATTCCTTGTTCCTGAGTTGGATTTACCCCTGTGTCTTGGATGTAATAAAGACTATTTTGTGTATTCCATGGCTCCGTGTTCCTTCCGGCAGCGATCGTGACACATGCATTATTCAATCATGACGATGATGTTTTCTTGGGGATATTCCATATAACATTTGAGAATCAGGAGTAATCTTGCTAATATCTTATATTTGTAGGAGACTTACTGACCTTTACACACAGTCATGAGCGTCTACTACAGTCTTTTCTGTACATTTTCTTTTCTTTTTTTATCATGATAAAAATGTAGGCTTAAGCAAGAATAAGAACAAGTGACTCCATTCTGAATTTTCTTTAAGCATGTTGTCTTCTTACGTAATGCTATTAACCAAGTAAAATTCTGGGATTTGACAGGTTTTGTTTGGTAACACACGAGGCAAAATGTCACGAGTATTGAGAAGCAAAGTGTGAACGTCTAAGGCTGGGTGGTCTGATGTTGTGTAAGAGTGTCACACAGCCTTTAATGCAGCTCCATCTGCAGAGGACCAGAGTGAAACCATGCTCCTGATCCGGTGCTTTCGGGAGCCCTGTCTCCATGGTGACGGTCTTTCGCCCTGACCCCCAGGACAGGCTCTTCTCTGCATTGCCATTCAAGATGACAAACGCTTGTTGCTTGAGGAGAGTTTTTGCTGTATGTCTCCATGGGGTTTATTTTCTCACAAACACCCTCCATTATTATTCATTAGCAGTAATGTGGATTATACTTCAAGATATGATGGAGCAGAGGGAACGACATGTGCTGCAGGTTTGAGCTAGTTATAGAGTGAGGGAAATAAGATCTGTTTCAAAACCTAGTGAGCTGCTGTGCTGTCTACATGGGCAGCTACCTTCACAAGTGATTGATCTGAAACGCATGCCACACAAATGTGATGTTTGCTTAGAGTAATAGCAATTTATAAGGATATTAATAATAACTAGTTGCTTATTAACATGCATATTACTTGCATATTGGCTGGTTATTAGTAGTTATAAAGCACATATTGATGTCTTATTCTGCATGACCATATTTTAGATCCCTTAATCCTACCTCATACCTAAACTTAACAACTACCTTACTAACTATTAAAAATCAGTAATTAAGAGTTTACTAAAGTCGTAGTTAATAGTGAGAACTGGTCCCCAAACTAAAGTGTGACCACGTGTCTTCCTTTCATACATTTTTAATGACTGTATTCACATCTTCGACTGCGGTAAAGCAGATAAACGATTTAGGACAGATACCTTTTTACATGCTTGTTAGATTTGATAAAGCACATCAGGCTTCTTCATATACTGTAGCATATTTCACATGCACCAGTAATTTAGTTTTGCCTTCTCTCACAGCACAATATGAAGCATAGCCTTAATGTCTTGCATATGTGGAAGATAAAATCCCCCCTTCTGACCTATTACAACAAGTGTCAGTTGCTTTGGAAGATCGAGAGAAGACATGAAGATATGAGACAAGAGATGGTCTCTGTCCTGCTCGTGTCCCACAGCCCTCTGAAAGCACAGAGCGGTAATGTGATGTTAATATTACAAAAGTGTGACTAGTCCACTAATGGATTAAATGAACTACTAGCAATCAATCAGGAAAATCTTTGGTCGGGTAATTACACAAGTAAGTACTGAGTAATGTTAATTAACTACATGTAAGGTTAGGGCTTGGTTTAAGGTTAGTTGCTAGTAATTACGCATAATGTACTGTCACACTTTATTTTAAGGTCCAATTCTTGCCATTAACAAGCCATTAACTACAACCTTTGCCTCAATAAACTCCTAATTTCTGCTTATTAATATTTAGTAAGGTAGATGTTAGTTTAGGTATTGGGTAGGATTAGGAATGTAGAATATGGTCATGCAGAATATGTACTTTATAAGTACTAATAAATAGCCAATACGTAATATGTATGCTAATAAGCAACTAGTTAATAGTGATAATTGGTCCCTATACTAAAGTGTTGCCATTCGTTTAAAGTAAAAAATAGATAAATAAAATAAAATAAATAAATAGATTCATAACTGCATAAATACATCTAACTAGTTGTTTTAACAGTTGTAAACATGAACATTCCTTGCAAGCAAGCAAACAAAATAATGCCATGTAAGGGAATATAGAGTCATCAGTTTGCAATTTATTTGAGGTTTTCAGAGCCTGTCAGCAGTTTTGCCATTACAGTTGGTCTCCATCAGCAATGTGCAAATTTGCCAAACTGAGCATCATCTTTCTGTTACTGTACTAAACACCCCAACAGCACAGGTTTAACAGAAGTGCATGACAGAATCCAGAATATTGCAATAGTAGGTATAACTGGCTGTTTTTAAATATTAATAAAAAAAATTAAAAAAAAGCTTGTAGAATAGCAAAGTCATCTGTTATCAGTAAATTGGTATTTTTCTCATCCATAAACTGTTACTAGATAAACCTCAGAGTTGATTGATTTGATTTCACTCTGGGATGCTTTGGCATCATTTCAATAATGCATCACCAAATCAAAGTCAGACACAAACTGAGACAGACAGACAGACAGATCTTCAAAGCGTTTATCTGATGGAGTCTACATATTAATAGGAGGAAAGATTTGTATGTGCCAACAAGCAAATTGCTCGCAAACGAACAGCAGTTCAAAAGTCTGGGGTCATGAGATTTTTGAAACAAGTCTCAGATGCTCACCAAGGCTGTTTTTATCTGATCAAAGATACAGTAAAACAGTAACATTGTGAAATATTATTACAATTCAAAATAACTGTTTTCTATTTAAACATATTTTAAAATGTAATTTATACCTGTGATGCAAGGCTGAATTCATTACTTCATTACTTCATTGTCACATGATCCTTCAGAAATCTTCTTGTTGCTCAAGAAACATCATTTCTTACTATTATCACAATTAAAATGGCTGTGCTGCTTAATTATTATTATTTTTTGTGGAAACAGTGACACGTTCCCCTTCAGGAACTCGAGCTGCATCGAGATCGCTTTGGGAACGCCCTTGCGTGACCGCGTTCTGAAGCACGTGTCAAATCTGTCCAATGGAGCAGCGAGACGTCACCGCAGCGTCTCGTTCCCTCGGGGAACCATGGTTACATACGTAACCTAGAGACGTTTTCTTTGATAGATTTATAGACAATTTTACAGAACATAATTTATTTGAATGATATTTTTTTTTTAAATTAATGTCACTTTTGATAAATGTAATAAATAATAAAAAAAAAAAAACACTTTCCTGACCCCAAGACTTCTAGAGGGTATTGTGATGTGACTCTAATGGCAGTAGCTGCAGTGACTGTAAGTGGAGCTGTCCGTGGTGCTGATCACTGCTCTACATTATGTAAGTCTGGTAAGACGGCAATGGTTTTAGTGCAATTACAGATTCCAGGAAAGCTTTTCAAATGTGTAGGGAAAAAAATTGTTCTTGTGGTTAAAGGTTCTTGTGCATTCCAGAGCCCTGGGCTATTTTATTTTATTTTTTTCAAATGCAGTAAAAGCATTTTGAGCAGAGAGCTTTAAACTGTCCAGGTGTCAAACAGAAGTTGATTTATCCTGGCAAAACCAGAAAATGTAAGCAAATTTAATCTCAAAAGATGACTTGTAGGATGGTTATGCATCAAAATGTTATAAAGCAAGAGAGCTTGTTCAAATCATTAACCCTCAGTAACACTAATAGTGCGTTCTAAACACAAATGAGTGCTAATCACAATGTATCCCTCTTTTCTCATAGGTGTGTATCCGCACTGAAGCAGAACAAGCAAACTTTTTAAATATATGAACGAGTATGTGATACTAGGCTTGCAAACGTCTTTGTGTGTCCATTAGGTGTGTTTCTGGAGCATTTGCAATTATGTTCTTGCTGTGGGGTGTAAAATTAAAATGCGAACACAAACCTACAGTCGGCTCCATCAAATTAAAGCAGGCCACAAACTGAGTCTCACAATCCACCAGCATGGTCCCCATCCGCATACAGTTTCTGTTTTCCAGCATTCCTGTCAGCATGACCGCTCTGCATTTCCCAAAAGTCAGCAGGCAGCAAAACCCACCACACCTCAATCCAAACTGCTGGAGCAGAATCATGCGTCGTCCACTAACACACACTTCCAGCAGTGCTAATGGAGTGCAGGTCAGCAGGTGTGTGAGGACACGGGAAGCGTGAGAATAGAGAAAAATAACAGCGCAGCGAAGGACACAGGAGATTCGCTCTCATTCACGCCTGAGTGAAGCAACAGATTAAGTAGTGGCACACGGAGCACAAAAGCCAAAGAGAGAAGACCCTTTTTCTTTCTTCTTCCCCCAGAAAATAAATAAATCTGAGACGGCGACCGCTGGGACCGGGAGATGGAGTGATATCTGCACAAAAGGTCAGCCGCAGGAAGTGGACGTGGAGCAAGAACAAGAGAAATGGAAGGCAAAGTGTCAGTGGATAATTGTCTTCCATGATGGCTATTCAGATCAAAAGTAAGCACCCCACGACTCTGACGGGAGGAAATGGCCACCTTTGTTCCTCGTTCCAGGTGGGCCGACCTGGTCATATGCCCCCCTCTAGGCTGGAAAAGGTCAGTGAGTGTGTGTTTCTGTGTGTGTAGAGCGACTGAACTTACAGCAGGGGTAGTTTAACAGCACTATATCGTCCAGGCCGATGTAACCCTTCTGCTCCGATGAGATTGTGGCTTCAAAAACGATCTGCAAGGAAAGAGATGAAAAAGTAAGACAAAAAAGAAGAAAAGACAGCAAGGGAAAAAAACACAGTAGGTACAAAATGTTTTTACAATTTGCAGTGTTACAGAAAGTTTTTTCATGTGAACAAGACATGATAAACTGCCAACACTCGGCATGGGAGACGCACACGATAACAAGGGTGCAGCCTCTAACATTAACCAGGCTCATTGGAAATACATGCCTCGACCTCAAAACTTGCCTTCTTCAAATACATGCCTTCTTCAAAACTCAAAAATTTACCTATACATACGAACCGTTGCTGTTTCCAGTTGAAATGAACACTAGAGACAATACTATTTTTACTCCTTTTCATACAAATATGATTTACAGTGCCAGAGTTTCCATGAAGAAAGCCTAATTTTCCGCACATTTCTTTTCACAATATTATGACTTCAAAACCATTTTAACATTCTGCGAGAGACTTTTGAACATTAGCATCATGTACAGCTTCATATATATATACATTTTCTAATGCAGTATGTTTGCTCGGTGGCTCACACCATACGGCATTGCATTTGTGTGGTGAAAAGTTCTGGTACGAATCCTGTAAACTACGGGTCAAGAAAAAAGCCCAAACCCTATAGAAAGAACAGCACAGCTGCATCAGCGGATACAATTTTATATAACTTTTGCAATCGCTAACACTATTGGGTAGGTTTAGGGTTGGGTTGGGTTTGGTGTAGGGGGTGTGTTTTCCAACACAATAGAGCAGGAAGCTTTTAGTGACACTTTCTGGACATTTGAATTCTGAACCTACCTGAACCAGGTACATATTTTGAAATGTTCACAAAATGTGCAATAAGGCATGTGATAATGGTGTTGCAGAAATATCACCACAAGCAAGTATTTTCAATGAGCCTGGGTTGATCTAATGCAGGGAGCTCATAGCAGGCCTCCAATACTCTCATCCCCCTAAACCTCACTCTGATCCGGGTCACGGCACCAATGTAACTGGTTCTACTTGCACCACTCCAGGGGATTCGAATCAACATAAACCTGATGGTTTGCTAAGGTAAGTCACATGTACCGCTGCAAGGCAAAATTTCATTGAGCAAAATCTAATCATTTCAATAGAGATCTGTATATAGTCTGGAGTTTCGTGTGAGGGCGAAAACGTTCCCCATGCAGATTTGGCTCATGTCAAACATAAAGATGGTTGGTCTTAAAGTTACTTCTGTTGTGTTAGACTTTTGGGTCCCACTTAATATTAGGTGACCTTAACTACTGTGTACTTACATTTAAATTAATCATTTGGAACAATGCACTTATTGTTTACATACATGTTTTTACATTGTATTTATATTTTTAAAATACCTATATGTAATTACATCTGTAATTAATTTATGTACTTACATTTATAATTACACTGTTGACCCATCCCTTACACCTTAACCCACCCTTAAACCTACCCATACCAACAAACCTGTCCCTAACCTTATACAGTATATCCCACCTCAATAGCAGCAAAAGCGTTTTACAATACAATATGACCTCAATAAGCACATTGTACTTACTTTTTTTGATGCAAGTACATAGTAGTTAAGGCCACCTAATATAAAATGTGACCAACTTTTGCATTGTTATTTTGATGGACAAGGTAATACAAATTATGTCATAATATAATATTATATATCATTTTAATTGTCATATTTTAATGATAATAAGCCATGCAACAGCTTGATTTCATTCACATTTAAAATTTTTAACCGTTTTTCTTTTTCTTTCTCCGGCCAAAAAAAAAAAAAAAAAGCCCTATGGCAAATAACATATCAGCTTTTTGGTCAAGGGACTTATATTCTAGATACAGATCTGTTGATATTTGCATTATTTATAACATATTTACACTATACTTAATTAGCATCATGAGTACAACAGCTGTAATTATAATTACTATAGTAGCACACCCCTGTGATTGTCATTAAACCAGATGTTCCCATATCCCACTATCATTATCATTATAATCACTGTAGTCGGGTTGACTATTGCACTGAAGCATGTGAATAAGCAGAATGCTATTTCTTTTCAATTTGTTGCTTTTTCATTTTATTCTTGATGTGAACAGGCCAGCGTGTGTTCTTGAGTGAGTGATTGAACTGTGTTTGCTCCCAAAGGTATTTCCCATGCTGCCTCTTGCTTCAAGCAGATTCATTATTCTTTGCTCTCTCAATAAACAATACGATCTTGGCTAACTCAACTACATAATTGATCACTTACACGCAGTTCTGCCTACCCACAAGCTAGCATTTGTTCATGTAAAATGTTATGCGGGCGTTCGCTGCGCTAAAGGCATCATGATTCAGCACAACAATCTCCCTGTTTTGACCTACCGATGAATTCGACTCAAGACTTGCGCTCTGCTGAGAATACAGATCTTGCTCTCTAGTGGCCAATTACACTGCAAGTACCCCACATCACTCATCCGTTTACACAGCTTTAGCCATTCTGCTAACAAAGGGAAGACTGCCTCCCCAGCTGTTTCATTGTTGGACAGGCACAGATAGCTGATAGATGTCCTACCGCTCTGAATCAAACAACAAACGAGCTGGCAGCGCTAATAGCCAGCCAATCAAAGCCAAGCTGCAGCGAGCGAAGAGACCTGACGGTGCAGCAGGGTTTCTGTGCAAGCCGTCCTTATCGCCACAAACATATTTAGCGATGTTTGCTAAAGCAAGCAAAACTATTACTAGTTTTGAACGAGCCACCCTCTTTAAGTATTGAAATTCACAGAGACCACTTGGTAAACCAATCAAATTGTGGCAGTGATGTACATTCAAGCATCATTCGCATTTATTTAAAGGAAATGTACAAATACAGTTTCTTATTTGCTTCTGTGCAAGACACGGAGCAGATTAGCTGCTGATTCAGGTCTTTATCGATTGGCTGTCTTTATGCCCAAACCCTGTCTGGTTAAGATTTGACACATCAGTCACCGAGAGGGAATGACAGAGCGGAAGAGAATCATTTGTGGAAGCAGAGTGATAGACAGAAAGAGGGCCAACAGAAAAATAAAGGCACAACTGGGGACATGTTAGCTTGGATGGGTTGTGCTAAAAGAACTGCGTTACAATTAAAACTGTGTTTAGAGTATTAAACTGTAGAATGGATGTCTACGGGACACACAGCATTGCACCAAACTGACTTTTATAAAAGTATGGCCAAGAGACTAAACATGATCATGAAAATGAGAATAATGTGATTTCCGAAGGATCATGTGACACTGAAGACTGGAGTAATAATGCTGAAAATTCAACTTTGATCACAGGAATAAATTACATTTTTAAACATATTCAAATAGAAATTATTATAGCTATTTCAAAGTGTAATCAAATTTCACAAAATGTGTAATTTCACAATACAAACATAAATGTGCTGTTTCTAATAAAAAGATAATAATAATTGCAGCTTTTGTGAGCATAAGAATCTTCCGTTTAAAAACATTAAAAATCGTACTGACCCCAAAGTTTTAAATGGTAGTGTACATATATATTAGACAACTGTCTTGTGTATTTTTACATTAATACATCACCCAGACAGTCTTGTATCATATAGAAATCGCTTTGACGCAGTGAATAAAAAGTAGTGGTGTAAATCAGATGGTTAGTCACGATACAATATTATATTGATTCTCATATCAATCGATACGATATTTGCCAATACCTCAAAAAAATCTACGATAAGATTATGATACGATTCGATTCATATATCGATCGATTTAGCGATATTATGTACCTATTTTAAACACCCCTCTACATTTTTATTAACTCACAAATGCAACCAAAATATTTAACATGAACATTTGTATCTGAAATTTCCACAACTAGTACCTCAATTGGCACATTCACAAAAAAAACAAAAAAAATAGGCCTACACTCGAAAGCACGGATGCAATATACTGATACACAAGATGTGCATTTCTATGTACTTTTGTCTGTATTTGTTCTTCCAAGCACAAAAAAGCAGAAGAGAACTCATTTCAGTATTTGTGCGCTGTTTGAGATGCGGCTGTCTGCGTGGGAAAACTTCTCACATCGCTCGACAATTCTGTCAACTATCCCGAGCTTCTTTTACGCTCGCCTTGTGCATTCAGGCAGTCTTATTATTGAGTCCTGACACGTGAGTTTGAATGAGAATGAATGCAATGCAAAGACGGACATTGCGTCAAAATGTGGACAGTGCCAAAATAAGGTGCCTATTTATCCTACAGATATCAATATTTTGCGCATGGCATCGAAACATCGTATCGTTAGGCCTTTGATCAATGTATTGATCCATATCGATAGATTGTTACACCCCTAATAAAAAGCATCTGCAAAATAAATACATACAAATGAAATTACTTTCTCCAGAGGGCACCTCGGCCCAGGAAGGAAAAGGGGTTAGTGTTTTGGGCCATTGTGCACATCCCTGATATATGTACAGTATGTGTGCACAAAACATTAGACGAAACAGAAGGGCTGGTAGCATTGTTAATATTTGATAAAGACTCCTTGTCATCTCCAACACCTACAGCACTGACAGCAGCACAATACACATCAGACGGAGAAAGGTGGTTTTTAAAATCTGCAGCTCACAGTGACTGGCATCCATTTATCTCATTGCTCTTATTTCCTGTATTCAACCCACCCAAATGTCTGGAGCATCAACATGATAGAGATCAAAATACTGCAGACAGGAAACAATTGCTGGTTGGCATACAAGCGGAAGCGTCTCATTTACACCAGTGGGACGCTGTTGCATACCGTGTACGGATGCGTTTTATCAGGGCAAGCTCAGGAGCGCAAACACAAATAACAGAAAAAGTCCGTAAGGAAAGTTGTGGAAACAAACTCCAGCAGACCTGATTGTGTGCAGATAAAAACATTCAGTTCTGTTCTAACCTTCAGAAACACAATGAAATCCCTCAAGAAAAGGAGTCTGCGCTGACCTTTCTCCAACACTTCAGTTGTGTTGTCTGTCCACTGCAGTCTTCTGTTTGGATCATGTGTTCTCCCTGCATAATGACTAATCTCCTGATGCTCAAGAAATCCACCGTCAATGCATTTGGGGTGGATACTGGAAATCCATTGAATATAGAATGAAAATAAAGGGGCCCAGGACAGTTCCCTGGGGTACCCCAGTGTGGCTCAAGGTCCTGGAGCCTCGAATACTGCTGGCTCTCAGGAAGGTAGTCTATGACCATGAACACTTCAGAGGAATCTATATGGTTACCAGGCTTTCACTGTTTAAGCACTTTTATACATATGCACTTACAACTAATCACAATTTCCCCTCATTTCTAAAAAGCATCTGCTAAATGGAAAAAAAAAACTTAGCAGTTCAGAAATCTAAACTAATGTCGGCACCGATAGCCGACATACAATGCCGTTGCACTTAGGGCATCCTGAGATTGAGTCCTGGTTTGTGAACCTTTTCTGATCCTGCCCCCCTCTCTCTCTCTCCCACTTCACTTCCTGTCATTACTTTACTGTCCTATCAAAATAAAGGCAAAAATGGCAAAAATAAATCTTAAAATAAAAAAGATCATTCCAAACTAAACACTTAACAGTAGAATCTGTTTAGCTGGCTGTCATAGTTTTTAGAAATGAGAGCTCTTCTTCACACATACTAATTTTGCAGACTACTCTCTTCACATGCGTCTGTGGCTGGTGACGAAAAAAAAAAAATCCAAGATCCAAAGATGAAATTGTATGTTTGTATGTGAGTTTAAACATCAAGGCTGGATTGCACCAAATTTGAAACTAATTACCATATTGAAGACGTGGACTTGTGGAGTTTTTGCAAGCTCAGTTACGTGTCCAGTTCATGTCACAATTACTTTGCTTGCATTTTGTTCCTGCTTTTAGTTTCTAAAATATTAAATTCAGCATGATTCAAAATGTGTTTAGTTTTTGAGTGTGGTGTCATATTACTCCAAGTAATAGAAAACATATCTCTTTGGGATTTGTGATATTTTGTCTACTTGCCTGGCTGTTCTGTTCTTTTCTCATTCTGTTATGCCAGATATGAAAACCATCTTTATGTAATTATATCTTTATTTGCACATAAGCTTTAAATAACAGGCTTTAATAACTGGAAAAATTTAAATTATAGTACTGCTAAGCTTTCGGTAAACTAGTCTAATCCTCAGTAGCCTCCCTCGTCCCACGCTGGCTGGGATGTCTATCAGAAGCGATATCCCTCTAGGGGGAGCTTGATTTATTAAAATTTTAGGAACCTCTAAGTTAAAGCAAAGCATCTACACGGCCAGCTTTGCTAAGCCTGACGTCCATAGAGCCCTTAGTTGGCAGCTAACTGTTCAAATTGGTTTCACAAATGTGTCATATCAGCCTCATAGGGAGAACTCTACACCAGTCTTAGTGGTGATAGCGAGTGCTGGAGCCGAATGATCCAGATCCTTTGTGTTTTCCCAGGTAGGATTAGGAGGAGGGGGAAATTATATCCTTAATACAACCTGCCGCCCCATGGGCCTGACTGCTGATCTCATCTCTACAGACCCGCTCGGGTACTCATGTAGCACTCTCATTCCTCCATTCTATTTTTCATTCATTTCTTTTCCTCTCTCTTTCCTCCGCTGTCACCCAAAGGGAGCATACGTGAGTTGATTTAATCTGTGCGAGCCGGGTGTAGCTGCCCGAGAGGTTTCCAGTGACCCGTGAGCCATAACTGAGAGAGAACAAACAAGCCAAACCAACACAGATTACAGAATGAAAGGATGGAGGAAAGAGAGGGTGAAATATGGATGTACATTACCAGTCAAAAGTTTGAAATGTTTTTGAAAGAAGCCTCTTACGCTCACCGCTCTTATCCATTTATTTGTCCAATATTGTGAAATACAGTAGTATTACAATTTAAAATAACTGTTTTCTATGTAAATATATGGTCAAATGTAATTTATTCCTGTGATCAAAGCTGAATTTTCAGCATCATTACTCCAGCCTTCAGTGTCAATTTATCCTTCAGAAAAAAATTGCAATATGCTGATTTGCTGCTCAATAAATATTTCTGATTATTATCAGTGTGGAAAACAGTTTTTGCTGCTTAATACTTTTTTTTTGTGGAAACCACAATACACTATCATTATTATTATTTTTTTTATATATAATGTTACAAAATATTTCTATTTCAAATACATTATGTTACCTGGACTTTCTATTCATCAAATAATCCTGTATAAATGTATCATGGTTGCCACAAAATTAAGCAGAAAAAAAACCTGAAAAAATATGAGAGCTATTATTAATATTGAGCACCAATAATAATTAATACAACAGATGCTCTTTACCTGTTCCATTCACACAAAACAGATGCAGCCTTCCTCAAAATAAACAAAAATGCACAGGAGAATACGACCCTTATTATGCAAACCTGTAAAAATAAATAATACTTTAAAAATACAAATATAATTTGTGCATTTGATCTCACTTTAATTACCAGTTTCTTTGCTGCTGCCCTTTCATGATCAAATCCACCCATACAAACAACCACAAATGACTGTGGCTTTAATTAAACATATTTTTTCTTTGTTTGTTTGTGTGTTTGTCAGCAAAGCTGAAAGTTGTGTAAAAGTGTGAATTTGTGTTTCCTTCAGCCTGGTGCATGTTCACTTCAGCTTTTGGTGAGAAAGGTCTATCCGTCAGTGGTTTGTTTCAGTTTTTTGTGATGCGTTTGGTGTGAAATAATGGCCTTCAGATGGCATCTGCCTACATTTTAGAACAGCCGCAGTATTGCCGGTGCACCTGTGTTTAAACGCCTCTCTATATAGGCAGCTCACTACAGAGTTTGTTATTCCTCTGCTCTGCTGCCTCATTATCTGCTCTTGACAATACAAATGCAGCAATTTATCTGCGTCTTCATGTGCATTTGTATCTGTCCCTGTTCCCTTACACAATTACACACAACATTCATCACACGCTTACATATTATGAACTACAGTGTCATAAATGACTGCAGGCAATTACTACAAGCTAACTACAGTTGACTAACATGCCTCGCCACATCTCCAAACACCTCTTATTTACCATATTCCATGTGTATTCCACCACAGCACGTCTGAACAAACCAGACATCATTCTCCACAGAGGAAAAAATGAGACGGAGAGCAAGCAACAGAACCTGAGGGCTAAGATAATTTCTTCACATTGTCTGTCTGGGAACCCTGTGGTGCACTGTGAGTGTGTGTGTGTGTGTGTGTGTGTGTGTGCGTGCATTGATCGTGGCAGGGCTGTAATCTCATTAAGGCTGGTCTTATTTATGGAGAGAGGAGCGATACGGGTCAGGGTTATGGAAACCACACCGGACCTCCTCTTTCAAACGGGTCACACACACACAAGCGGGGGTCAATTGACTCTGTACTCACGTACACACACACATACTCAACTTACTGGTCATTATGAGCTTTTTGGAGAGCAAATGAGGGGCGAGTTATTAATCATAGCCTTTAACAAGGTGACAGTGTTCTGTGCGCTAACCATCAGAGGAGCAAGTGACTCAATAGCACACCCTCTAACTAGAGCCATGAGCTGGAGATAATAGACTATTTAGTGGTGGGGAAAAATATGCGTTTGTTGGTGTATAGGCAATTTTCATGATCCCTCTTATTTTGTTTCAATTATTAACATTTTGCACATTCTGCAAGGGGTGTGTAAACTTATGAGCACAACTGTATATACAGGAGTGGGTCTAAAGAAATAATGTATATACCCACTCCTACTGTAAATGTCAACATGTAAAAGGTATAACCCATGGAAAACAGGATTTTAGTTGATATTTTGCAATAAAAGTGTTTATTGTACTATATTACACAATCTAAAGATCCCTTTCCAAGCCTCCCAAACAACATTTATCGAAACTAAGCCAGAAAAACTTTTTTTTTATTTTTTTTAATGTTTTTATGGTATATTGAAATCAGAAGCAGGTACTGTAGGAGTGATGGACTTTCACAGGTTTGCCAACTTTTTAGTGGCATGTTTATTAACCAAAGGGTTACTAACTAAAAACTGTTCACCAGTAGTGGTGAAAAAAATGTTGCCATAAATTAAATGCAAATGTATCATTTTTGCAAGGATAAGCACATTAACATGTGACCACCTATGTTTTATATAAATGAATAAAACTGAATATTCAGCAACTGTACTTGACCCAGCTAATGATGAATAACAGAGTAAACTATTAGGAAGGTTTGCCAATCGCAACGGAAATAATTTACATGAATGATCTTAAAGGTACTGTAGCAGAAAACAGCCAGTTTCACATGGTCAAGGAAAGGCTAACATTTATTACAGTGTTTCTGATACATTTTCAAAAGTTTGAGGTCAGTGAGTTATTAATATATTAAAACATTTATTCAGCAAGCACACATTAAATTGATCAAAAGTTTCAGTAAATACAGTGTCTGTGCATGACATTGGTCTCACCTGGTACTCGCTGGGCCAGAAGGTGCTGACAGCCAGCTCCACCTGATGCCACTGCCGCCCCTGAGAGCCAGACACATTCCACACGGCATTTCCCCGCGAGCCGCCGTTTACACGCACATACACGGTTAGGACCCCAGGACTGTGTCCGTCACGGCTGTACAGAAAATAACTGAACTGCACACAGTGTGTGTCGTTCTCACTCAGCGGACGTAACATGAGCTGAGCCCGCTGCCCTGCACCGTACTGAGAAGAGTTCACCAGCATGTAGGAGCCTGGAGAGAGACAGAGAGAGAGATTGTTACTTTCTTAATTTACTTGGCACTAGATAAAACAGAATCAACCACTGCATGTGTCCAAGCAGTGCACATAAGTGTTGTATCATTCCTTAACAAATCAGACTTTCTGAACAAAACGGTTGAGTGAATTATACAACGACTCACTTATTTAGACAGTCACTTGTTGCCACTTACTGGTGTAATAATGTAACCTTCAGAAAGAGTCACAGAAAAATCCCCAACACTAATGCACATATATAAATTACACTTCAACCTTTGTGTTGGGTGGCTGGGATGGAGCTCTTGCTAAGCTCACAATTATACACAGTGAGCATAAATGATTGCTGTGGCGTTGGGGCAGGGCAGAGTTCACTATGGCTAATGTAGTTTAAAGCAGGTGTAATCAGTGCAGTGATGATGGCAGCTCTGCTTGGGTACTCCACCATTATTAATCACGCTGACACAGTTATTAAACCTCTAATGTCTGCCACCAGGGTACCACAGAAACGACATTACATACAGCGAGAAACGAACAGGTACAAATGAAAGAAATCCCAACAAATGTTTCACAGACACAACACAGCAAACACAAAATACTGAGTCTTGCGTCTCAGTGACAGGTAAAATGATTTCGATTGCTCAATGTCTTGAGGACATCATATACTGTCTTTCTTTTCTTCATATTCATTTTTGCCCCAGATTTGTACTTTTCCATCCTTCAGAGTAAATCTGTGGAATTTTTTGTTCACTAGTTTTATCATTTGCCATGTGAAAATCTTAAGTTTATTTGCTTAAAATAGTCCTCAAGCCACATGGTTTAAGGTTTCAGTCCTGTCTGTAGAACAAACAGTACAAGATGACAGTTTGAAGAATAATAATTAATTTAATATGAACAATAGCAGATCTAACTTTAATGGTGTTTCTTGGATGTGACACTTTTCTGAATCTTGACATGTTGTTTTCAGGGCTGGATTTCAGAGAAATTACAGTTTTCAATGATCAAAACAGGTGGCAGGCATTAACAGTGATTTTTTTTATTATTTTTGCAATTCATAAAAATAAACCCAAAGTTGTTATAACATCTGTCAGGAAGGCTCCTGCACAGCTGGCCTTATTTATCAACTGAAGAACATCTATTTATTCATTTAGAATGGCACCAGAACCCACAGAGACTCAATGAGCCAGAGCGCAAGAACAGACAAGCAAAGTTAAAGAAACAAAAATAAGGATCCCAATAATTTTTGATGAAAAATTAGACAGTCCTTGTATAACAGATTGGTGCCGTGACCCGGATAGGTGTGAGGGCAGCTAGAAAAAGCTATACAGTATATATAAGCTTCACTTTCTTTGTCTCAAGAGGTGTGCTTAGAGGTGTTTAGGTGTGCAATTGTTTCCAATGCCGGGTGACGTTGGTTTGCATGCCTCTGAGAGTGGTGCAGGTAGCACATTGGTGCCATGACCCGGATGGGGATGAGTGTAATGAAGGAAAGCTAGTAAGAGCTATATATGCAAACTTCACTCCTTTGGCCTGAAGAAGGGAGCTAGAGATCTTTAGTGTACTTCTTAGCACAATTGCCTACCATGCCGGGTGATGCAGGTTCGAATCCCAGTCCGGGCGGTATGAATAGGACCAATTACACCTGCAATAATAGTACAGCATATCTTTCCCTTTAAAGAAAAACCACATGAACTACACATGTTGAAAATCACATGCAAAATATGTGAAACACGTGAAAACCAAGTGAAACGTGATTTTAACATGTGATTTCACATGTGAAATTCATAAAAAAATTGTATGTAAGGGTGTAATGAGGCAAATCTAGCTAAAGGTCAAAACAGTGTGTGCAGAGGCACTAAACCCATTACAAGATTGACCTGTAATAGAAAACTGTGAAATATATCATGAAAGGTAACAGATAAAACATTTACTACAGGGATATTTTCCCCTGTATTTTTTAATATCTGGAGACATATTCAGTGTTTTTACCTCAAGACCCTGCAGTGGTCAAATTATGCAAATTGGAAATGCCATAGTATCATACACTCAACATATTCATGTTCCACAGTTTACATGGTAGCACAAAGTACTAGAGTAAGAACTGCATGGTAACACCATGGTATATGTCCACTCAGAAAATAGAGCATTTACCAAAAAAAAAGGCACATATGGTCCAATAATGGTAACTTTTTATTACTGAAGTCCATTGTAAATAACTTCCATTGAAGGTCAACAGCTGCCCTCCATCTGCATTTGAAATTTAAAGCATGTAGTATCTTACGCTTGACTGTTTCAAACAACAACCCACTGAAGAACAAGTTTGCAGCTCCATCGTCCGGAAGAGAACATGAGCGTTTGTTTTAAGACTGACTGTCAGGTTTGTATGCATGAGCGCTCTCATGGAACGGACTTTAGAGCCGCAACTTAAAGAGAACAGAGGATAAAAGAAGCTTCTTCAATCAAAAGTCCATCTGACAGTCTTTATGCAGATCAGGGCCTGAATGAGCATCAGTGCCTGCGGTGAATCGCTATGACAGTCACAAATGAAAAAGTGTTGCATCCTGGGAGAACTGACAGCAACAGAATAAAACTTTTAGGTATACTGGCAATTTTAGCAACTTTGAATGCAGCATTCTGACTGGAAATTGGATGCAAAACTTAAACAGTTTCCTCCAAATTTGTGGTCGGTTATAATTTGGTGGGTTGCTCAGATAAAGTAAACTAACGAACCTAATGTAGTTTTTCATGCTTAAAGTCAACATAGAACGAAAATGTACTCTTATTTATTTTATAAAGAAATAAATAAGTACATAAATGTTCTTTCACTTTTATTTAAATACTATTTTAGTTTATATAGTCTATTATAGTTATTAATATTTTGAATTAGCTTTAGATTTTTTATATATATTTAATATAATTTTTAGTAATTTTGTTAAACGCTTTTATCATTTTTATTATCATTATTATTATTTTTATATTACTTTTTAGGTGTAATCAAGTTTTAGTTCAGTTTCAGCTTTTATTTATTTCCATAAAGTAATTTTAGAACTTCAACTTCAAATGATTTCATTTAGTTTATGTTTTTGCATCTAATATTTATATTTTATCTCATATTCATAGGGAACAATTTACCAACCAGAATTGAGTATTGTGGATAATTGTATAATAACAGCAAATAAAAAAGAGGTTACACTTTATTTTAAAGGGGTCATATGATGCGATTTCAATTTTTCCTTTCTCTTTGGAGTGTTTGGTGCATAAAGAATATCTGTAAAGTTGCAAAGACTAAAGTCTCAAATCCAAAGAGATATTCTTTATAAAAGTTAAGAGTCAACCACGCCTACCTAAAACAGCTTGTTCCAACACGCCCCCACATGTCTACGTCACAATGTGGGAAGATTTGCATAACACCACCCAAATGTTCACGCAAAGAAAGAAGGCATAACTTTTATTCTCGCTGTAGTATTGTTGCTGCCGCCATGTAGATTCCTTGGGTCATGCTGAGAACAGCGATACCAATGTTGCCATAGTCAGCCAAACTTCCTGTCTGTCATTTTGATTTTCTTTAAAAACCTACACTTTATTTTAAGGTGTCCTTGTTACAGTGTAATTATACTTTTAAGTACTGATTAATATTAATAAACTACATGTACTTACTATATAGTTAGGGTTAGGATTAGGGTTTGGCTTAGAGTTACATACATGTAATTATGCATAATTAAGTGTTATTATAATAGTAAGTACATGTGACGTGTAACAAGGACACCTTAAAATAAAGTGTTACCAAAAAAGACATCACTGTTTGGAATGCACTGTGTTTGTCCCATTATGGAAGTAAAATGATTTGTAATTGCTCTTTCTTATTGACTTTAAATATGACATTGTTCTTTCTGTGGATACTATTGTTAACCTGAGCAGTCTTTTTTAACATACTGAAATTGTTTCAGACATCCTAAATTAGGATGTTCAGAACCCAAGCTCTTCTGTGGCCGGTACGGCTTGAGACACTTCAAAGTCTGAAATAATAATAATGTCTGAACCCTACAAACACCTCTAACGTACAATCACAGCTCCGCTCGCACCCGCCACACATGCTGCTGTAATCACGGCTGAGCTTCCTGGTGGCTCTGGGTCCATTTCTCAGAAGTTATTAATTTCCCTATCCCCCTCCTTCCTCTGGCGGCGCATGTAGGAGCCTGCCTCCTCTCAGCTGAAGGGTGTGAGCGCCAGGGACCATGACCCAAATGAAATTTTTCACACGCTCGTTTTTCTGGAGCCCATTTTCAGGCCTTGACAGGTGGCGAAGGAGAGACGGGAGGTCAGGCAAATGAATCGTGGCAGAGCGCTGCTTGAAATCTGACTGTTCCTTATTTACTGATAACACTTTATATGATGAAACAGTGTAACGCAGTAACCTAAAGATGACGGGAATCTGGTAAAAGAGCATTCTGAGTTCAGAACAACTTTAAGGGGTAGTCCAACAAAAATGTAAATTCTGTCATCATTTACTCATCATAATGTGGTAACATAATGAGGATATTTTGAAGAGCGCTAATAACAAACAGTTTCAGTCCCCACTGACTTCCATTGTATTTTTTGTACAAAACTTAGATACTAACATTCTTCAAAATAGCTTCTTTTGTGTTCCACAGAACAAAGAGAGTCATACATGTACAAGGACATGAGATTAAATGACAGGCACAACGGCATGAAGATTATTAGCACACTGTAATGTCTACTAACAACTTGACAATTTGAAAGGTAGACAACATCAGTTCCCGCCTGTTGATTCTTTAATTAACTCTGCTAATAACATAAATAACAAACTAGAACATAAATAACAAAAAGAGTGTCCTTGTTTGGAGTTCAGTCATTAGCTCATTAACTTTACCATGTTTTCTTGTCATCTCTTGCTCAGTTCAGTGTGGCAAAGAAATCATGTATTGTAAAAGTGTGTGTATAAATAGACTTTATATCAACGTCATTGGCTTGTCAGCGT